TGATACCTCAGTGTGAATTTGTCTGATGTAGCCCTTCTTAGAGGTCATTGACAGAGGGCAAGACATTTCCAAAAGGAAGGAATTGCCAATATGGAATGACAGGTGGTTTGGATGACCCTCCATGATTTAGCTTCAACCTGCCCTTCCTGCCTTCTCACCTACAAATTCCATTTCAGATGCTCTGTCCTAATCCTCTTCAATAGTTCATTATTCTCCTGCTGACAGAGCAGTGGAGAAATGTTATCTGTTGTACTCACTATATGACTAGCTGATGGTGCATGGCTTCCTGGAGCAGTGCTGTGATCCATTAGTCATGTCTGTCATAAACACTGGCAGGGGCAGTGGTAATGACAGTCTCTAACATTTGCCAACTCTGCTCAACATTCTTCCAAGTGTTGGGAAAGCCTTTGCTTATTCTGTTTCTTCTTGGAAAGCTTTGTTGCTCCATTACACATTTTTAATTTTTCTCATTTTTATAATGCACCATGGATGCCACCTCTCCATAAAGTTGTCTTCTGATTTTTCCAGATGAAAGTAATTCTTCCTCCCTAACCTCCCATGACAATCTGGCACTCATTTATAGTGTTCCACACCTTCTCCTGTATGTTCTCCTTGTTCTCATCTTATCTTCTCGCCAGGACAGGATTCCTCTCTAGGAGACCGTACCAGGTCAGTTTCATCTTTGTGCAACAGGCTGTCCCTGATGAACACAAATCTGGAACAAGAGTTTATAGCACAGGTGGGCATCTGGTTCCTCTGGGTGTTGGGTAGCCTGAGCCAAGGGGCAAATGAGTGTTTGTTTTTCTGAAGAAGTCAGGCATTCTGTGGCAGATATGGGTGGAGTGGGGGTGGGGAGTACCATCATAGAGGGGCTGGGATCCTGTCTGTCTCCTTCTCCTGCTTGAAGGGCAGCTCGGGAGAAGCTCAAGAGGGAGGAGTTGACTGCAGAAGCTGGAGGACCTGCATGACTCTTGGGCTCAAGCATCATTGCTTTAGGGCCTGGGGGGCCTATGTGTGAGTCAGGAAAAGGGGAGAGAGAGAGGAGGGAGAGAGAGAGAAAAAAAGAAGAGAGAGGAGAGAGAGAGCACTGTCAGTGAGGTGGTACTGACCCCTCTTAGAAATAACTTGGGGCACTGTGGAGTGACTCTGGGGTCCTGAAGTATGCCTGTAGTGGGGCTAGAACCTTTCCAACCTGGGTCTGAAGGTCAAGGCATCCTCGGGTGTACCCGCTGGTGAGCTGAAAGCCCTGGGGACTTTTGGCAGACATTTTCATCCCCACAGGCTGGAAGGTTTGCATGCAGTGAGTCTGTCCTGCTCATCACCATGTCCTCTGGGACAGCACAGTGCCTGTGCTGAGCAGGCATTCAGTCACGATTTGTGGAATCAATGTTGGTGAGGAGGGCAAGTAGCAACGGGAATGGGGGTGTGCCCCCAATTCCTCAGCTCCAATCTCCATGATCTTCTACACTGCCCTGGGCCCAGCCTCGAGCCGTGGAGACCACAGTTGAAGTCTGTTGGGGTGTACAGGTCTTATCTTCTGTCCTTGGCCACCTGGTTTTAAGGGCAGGGTCAAAAGGGGGTGCCTCCCCTCTACTGGGGGTCAAATCCATGGATATAGCATGTCTACCTCCTACTCTTCATCCTTGGCTTTTTTTTTTTTTATGTGAAACATCAGCAGCTGGTGGCTCCAGGGACTTGGGCCCAGAGAGGGCAAAAGATTTCCCCAGAATCACATAGCAAGTTAGTGTCAGTCTGGGACCAGAACTTGAGTCTCTGTAGTCAGGTCCCATTCCAGCATTCTTTCCGTGTCAGTCAACCTAGCCCATGAGAAACTTGCTACCACCTGTGAGGCCACTATGACAGCTGCCACCTGGGACACTGCCAGGGCCTTCTGTGCCCCCCTCTCAGCCTCTGTCCTATTTCTCCATCTCTCTCTCTTTCTCTCCCCAATTCCCTCTTCCTTCCCATCTTTCTTTTCCTCCATAGATGGCAAAACCTGGGCGATCGAGAGGCTGAACAGGCTGGCTCCATCCCTCCTAGTTGCAGTCCCCTCTCTCCTTCTTTCTTTTCTTTATTATTTAACTGACTGTAACATAGACCCGAAATCTACCTAAACCTATATGTGTTATATATCTGAGTCTGCTTTATGATCCTTGTTCTGCAGTAAACTTTTTTCATTTCTCACTCATTAAAAATAAAAGAAAGAAAGTCAAGTAACTCCCTAAACCAGAGAATGTCCAAAACATACCAAAATAACCACTTCTTCTGGACAAAATTATTTTTTAGGGCTCAGGGCCTCCAGGAAAGAACAGTTCTCAGCCCTAGGAAGGCTGCATAAAGCTGCTACACCTGTGCTGCCGCCCCCGCTGCTCCCTCTGTGTCATAATCCAGGCCTGGGGCTTGGAGCTGGCTCCCTTCTGGCTCAGAGGGATCCAAGGGCTGTCTCTGTACTTACCATCCATTGTCGGTGACCTTTAGAAACCATGTTCTCCCATGGGGTCCTCTTCCCCATCCCTCTGCAACCCACCAGGGTACACCAGATGGTTACCTGGGCATGATGCATGCTCCTGGCTCAGCGCTCTTGCCCTCTAGACTGCAAGCTCTGAGACCCTTCTTTATCATTGCCAGGTGCCAGGGACCGTGCTAGACACTTCCAAACCCTTTATCTCATTCAATCCTCACGTTATATTTCTATTGCACAGAACTGTGTTGAGATTTGTTTACCTGGTGGAGGTAAATGGTATTATTCCCACTTTATAGGGGGAAATTGAGGCTTAGAAAACCTAGTTTGCTTGTCCAGTGTTACCATTTTTAGGTAAAATGGCCTGGATTTGAAATCAAGTCTATTAAAGCCAAGTCCAGGACTATTCCTGCTAGATCACACTGACAAAAACATAACTAATAATATTTTACATGTACAATTTTATTTATATTTAAAGAGGGCTTTAAAGTTTGTGAAATTTGCTTCCCAGTTTTCCCCATTGCAGCATTCACATTGTGCTATAATATATACCCTATCTCCATCACCAGTGATGTATAGAAATATAATATCCAGCATATGAGCTTTTGTGGAGGAATGCCTTGAGTGAAGCAGAGGGACAGAAGTGGGAGCAACTAATTGCCTGGAGGAGTCAGGGAAGGCTTCCTGGAGGAGGTTGCATTTGAGTTGGGCCTTGAAGGCTGAGAGAGGCATTCACCACCTGGAGGAGAGGAGACATGCACTCCTGGCAATGGGACAGGAGTGGACTCTGGTGGGTGGGCTGGCAGGTGGGAGCAAACCAGGCAGAAGCAGCAGCTTGGGGCCAGATTGTCTTGGGTTTGCACAGCCCTGTGGAGAGGCCAGGCTTCTCCAGCATGGGAGGGCCCCACTGAAAGACCGCAATACAGGCCTGTGCTTTAGACCAAGTCCTCAGCAGCACAGTCTGATCCAGTGGCCGGGAGTTTTGAGCACTTGAAATGTGGGTAGTGAAACTGAAGAATTCTAGATTTTGCTTAACTTTGATTCAAATGTAAACCCTGATTTCACTATTGAAAAACTTTTACAGAATGTGTGAAACAGTACGAATCGATTTTCACCTATAAATTTTATGAAGTCTAAATGCAGAACAGGCATTTTGGATGAAAATGTGGAGTCTGAACTGAAATATACAGTGGGTATAGGAAGCACACTGGATTTTAAACTCGAAGACTGCACAATAGTTCAGTGATGATTGTTCTATATTGCTTATATGTTGAAATAATACTATTTTAGATATACAGGGTTAAGTGAAAAATATCATGAACATTAATTTCACCTGTTTGCTTCTGTGTGTTAGAATGTGGCTACCAGAAAATTAAAAATTCCTTGTGTTAACAGCATCCCTATTGGACAGCACCGGCCTGAGATTCCAACTATTTCCCTAGGACCTGGGAGGACTCAGACCCTCGCCCTCTTAACAGCACCTCCAGTGACGCTGATGCTGGTGGCCGGGGACCCTTCTCAGAGGAATTCTGCTTCAGAAAGATCCCTCTGGGTGAGGTACAGAGGCTCATGCCTATAATCCCAGCACTTTGGGAAGCAGGAGGATCACTTGAGCCCAGGAGTTTGAGACCAGCTTGGGCAACATAGTGAAACCCCATCTCTCTACTAAAAATACAAAAATTAGCTGGGCGTGGTGGCACTTGTCTGTAGTCCCAGCTACTCAGGAGGCTGAGGAGGGAGAATTGCTTGGGGCTGGGAAGTTGAGGCTCAAGCCTGGGGGACAGAGAGAGACCATGTCTCAAAAAGAAAAAACAAAGATCCCTCTGGATATGGGTGGGCGCTGGATTGAAGGTGTGGGCCTGGAGGCAGCAGGGCTGCTAGTGTCACCAGGACGTGAGGAAGGAGGCCCAACCTCAGACTTCGGGAGATTCCCTGAAGGCTGAACACCCAAGAGCATTCCCTTTCAGGGACCCGGGCGCCCTCTGCCCTGTCCTGGCCACTAGTCCTGGGGTGAAGGGGGAGCTGAGGGAGGGCTGGGTGTAGTCCCCAGCCTTGGGGACAGACACTGGCCAGTGCTCCGGGGGAGTGAGTGCACCTCGAGGGGCCGTCAGCCCTGCTGGAAGCTGCCTTCTGGGGATTAACCCTGCACCCACTGCAGAACCGCAGAAATACTCCCTGGCATGGAAAGGAACCCAACTTGGCTGCCTGTTCCTATTCCTTCCAGGACAAGGGCCAAGAGTGAGTGGCAGGAGCGTCACAGTAGTAAGGAGGGATTTTTGTTTTGTGACTTGCTTCTCCTGCCCTGATTAGCACTTGGATCATGGAGATGAGGTTAGGCTTTTGCTCTTGATTTTGCTAAAGGTCCTCCAGTGATTTACAAGCCTTTTTTGGGGAGCGGTTGGGGGTGATACGGAGATGACAGAGCAACAAGCCTCTTTTCAGGGAAGCCATGTCTGCAGCAGAAACCTTCCCCTGCCAAGCACCCATGTCTCGAAAACCTGACACCCTCAGGCCGCCGAGGCAGGCCCGCAGAGCCTACCTTGACTATGTCCTCATTTATGTTCTTGGGGTCTCGGTTCACCAGGTCAATCTCTTTGCAGTGGATATCCTTGACGATCTGGGCCTCGAGGTCTTCTGCCATCATCGTGGAGCTGGGGCACCCACAAGAGGAGATCCAGGCCGTGTGGCCGACTGGGGCTGAAAATACTTGGGGCAGAGAGACCAATTCAGTGTCCCCAGACTTATGTCCCTGCCAGCTAAATAGGCCCCACCCAGCATGCCGGCTGACAGCTGTCCCACATAACTTCAGCCTGCCTCTCGCTAAAGCCTCCAGTGGCAGGGCTCCAAGCTAAAATTAAGACTGGAGCTCTTCTGGAAGGTTGAGCACTCCTTAAAGGGGGCTACCTCGGGGCGCTGGGCCTCAGGAGAGGGTGCAGAGGGCCTGGGATTTCCTATGTGTCATGTGGCTGTGGCTGTCCTTCTGGGGCCCCTGGAATTTGCCCCTCTGCTCTCAGCATTTGGGCTCCTTTGCGGAGCACTGCCCATGGAGGGAAGCGGGGTTGGTCCCAGCTTTGCCTCTGGCTGGCTGTGTGACCTTTGGCACACTTCACCTCCCTGGGCCACTCTGCCCCCCTCTGTAAAATGGGGACAAGATAATAACTATCAGGGCTCTCCTACCCTGGGAATGGCTTCAGGAGCTGGAAATGCGATGCAGTGGGGCTTCTCTTTGGATGGTCAGTGCCTGGCCCTGCTGTTTGGTGACCTGGAGCAGGTCTGAGCTTGGCGAGTTTCTGAGGTTTTCACCTGGAGCAGGAGTTGATGGACTGTGGTATGGAGCCAGACTGGGGAAGAAGCAGTCTGGCTCCATACCACATGGGAGGAGCTGAGGTCCCAGCTGTCTGTACCTCATCTGCCGTCTTGAGCCTGCACTGGGATATCCCGGTAGAGGGAACATGAAGTCCATGTTCATGCCGCCCTTCACCCTGCCCGAGTGACAGCTCCCAGGATGTTCTTGGGCCCCAGATACTCCACACGCATCAATGGGATGCATCTCTCTTAGAGACCTGCTCAGTTTTTCTGTGCCCTCTTATAACTCAGCCATCCCCTGGGCCCCAGCAGCATGAAGGATGGCAACTCTGAATCTGCAGGGATCAGGATCTGTGCTTCCATTTACGTGTCTATTCACTCATTCATTCAGGATTTGCTAATAGCAGGGGTGGGGGCAGTAAACACTTCTGCCTTGAAGTGTTCCCAGTCAAGGGGGAGACCAATTAAAACAATACATGATTATAATACTGTGTGGTCAGTGCCACATTGGAGATATTTACCAAGAGCTTGCCTTAGAAGTCCATAGGAGTCAGTGACTTACTCTGAGGACATCAGGTAAGGCTTCCTGTAGGAGGTGGCTTTGCAGATAGGTATGGAAAGACACATAGGAGCTCACCACCTGGAACGCTTCAAGTTACAGGATTATGGGTATTGAGGAGTGGAGTAGACAGGAATGTTGAAAAGTGTGGAGTGGCTGGAACATAGGGTGTCTGGGGTTGAGGCAGGAGATACAGCTCAGTTCAGGCCTGGGGGCATGCAGGATGCCAAATGTGGTTTTTATCTAGGGGTGCTGGAAAGCCATTGAAGCCTTCAAAGTAGGAGAGGGTCAGTATCAGATTTGTGTATGAGGAAGCTCCCTCGTGGCCAGGTGGAGGGTGGACTGGAGCTGGCTGAAGTTTGAGGTAGGAGAGGGAAAACCGGAGCTGATTAAGCCTCTATTAATTGGCTGTTAATACAAAGGACACAAAAATAATCGTGGCTTGAATAAGATAGGGACTTTTTGTCTCACTTAACACAAATAGTTCAGAAATACTATAGTGGCTCCATGATGTCATCAGACATCTGGACCCCCATCCTCTGTTCTGCTAGTCTCAAAGCCAACTCATAGGCACAAGATGGCTGCTGCTCCTCCAGCCATCATCTCTGAGTCTGGACAAGAAGAAAGAGGAAGGGGCAGGGGCAAGAAACGACATCTGCTAACTGAGTTGGCTTTGTTAGAAAGCTTTCCTAGAAGTCCCACCCAACTACTTCTGTTTATATCTCATTGGTCACTCCTCTCTTGGCAAATGATGATGGAATTGTGGATTTTTAGCTGAGCAGATTTTCAGCCCCACAGTGTTAGTAGGGATAAATGGAAGGCAACTAGAAAACTTTGTCCCCAGCTCTCTTAGGATTCAGAGGTAGCACTTTTTTTGTTGTTTTTCCATTCCCCTGCCTGGGTCCCCAGGTCCCCCCTGGTCCCAGGTATGTAAATATTTTGCAAAGAGATCAGAAGAAAGAAAGAACATTGCTGCTTGTATTCACAAGGGATGTGGCAGAAATCTAAGCCTGAGCTTATGCTTTGTCCACTATAGAACCAGACACGTCTGCTGAAAGGTGGGCCAGCCAATGGCAGTTTGTCACAAGGGATGGAAGAGCAACCTGGAAGAACTCATCATCCTAAACGGGAAATGATAATAATGGGATAATAATAGTGATTATGGAAGGCCATCTTTTCCAAGGATAATGAGATTGATACTCTTTCCACTAGGAAGGAGGGTCTGTGTTCCCTCCCTGGCTGGCTTTCTGGCTGTCTCCTCTCAGGATTCTTGCCCTTGGACCTCAGTCACCATGCTGGGAGGAAGCCCCACCAGCCCATGTGGGGAGACCACATGGAGAGGAGCTGAGGTCCCAGCTGTCAGCCAACATCAGCATCAGGCATGAGGGTGAACAAAGCTTTGGTTGTTCTTAGTGCCCAGGCTTCAAGTCTTCCCTAACCTTCATGTCTTCCAGCTGAAGCCCCAGACACCATGAAACAGAAACACTGTCTTCTCTGTGCCATGTCTGAATATCTAAACCACAGAGTCCATGATCATAATCTTTTTTTTATGTCACCGGACTTTGGGGGAGCTTGTTTCACAATCATAGTCACTGGAACAATGAGCGCTAATGGCAATAGCAACTACTGTTGGTTGAGATTCATTACGTGCTTGGCTTCATTCTAAGGCACCCTTGGTGTGTGTAAGGAGGCTCATTTGTTGTCTGAAAGGGTTACTGCCCCTAGCTGGTGATGAGTTCTGAGGGCCAAGGGGGTGGAGCAACTAATACACATTGTGGATTTCACAGGAAGGAAGGGGACTTCAGCTGGGCCAGAAGGACAAGCGGAATCAGAGAGGCACAGAGGAAAGGACCAGATGCCAGAGGCAGAGAAAGAGTAATCTCTCACTTCCTCATGACAATCTTCTTTCCAAAACCCATGCTGGTGAAAAGAGCGCTGAATCTGGGAACCATTAGTCCTTTCTTGACCCTATCTTGAAGCAGCTCTGAGCCCCCTCTCTGAGCCTCGGGGTTCTTACTAGTCAAATGTAGATGGTAAAACCTGCCTGTAGTTCCTGCCCGTGAGTCTGTGCCACCAGCACAGTGGGAAAAGCTAACGGGGCAACAGAGGGCCTGTGTACTCACAGAAAAATGTTATGAAGAGAACGTACTGACAGATGAAACTCTCAAGTCAACCCTGGGGTGATGCAGATAACAAGAGAAAGCAATTAAGGAGAGAGAGTGGCTTTCCGAGCACATTTGTGTCTAGGGTTTTATGGAGGACGCTGAGTTCTTATTTTAAAGGATTTTTGTTATTGTTGTTGTTGTTATTTGGCTTGCCAGGGAAAAGAGAGAGAAAATAATTTTGAAAGTGGGATGTGCAGGAAGATGAATTTGTGGAGTGTGAAAAGCGGAAGTAACCGGAAAGGGAACGATTACATGGGCTGACTCGCTAAGATAGTGATGGTGCCATGGTCTGAAAACTCAGTGAGCTAACAAGTCTAGGGCTGCTGTTAACAAGCAAGATCGATCACTCATGCACATGTTTCCAAGGCTGGCAAGTCTAGAACCATCAGCAGGAGAGGAAGCTTTTTTACTTTTCCTACAAGTTTTAGATTTGTGCTGAGAGCTTCTGTTTTCTTCGTGACTTGGCTTTTGGGGTCGGCATTTAGAGAACAAATCACAGCATGCTCGAGCTGGAAGAGACCAAGCTTTTCCATTTTACAGATGAAGAAACTGAAGGCCCAAAAAGTCTCAAGTAGGTGGAGGGGAAAGCATGGGATTTGGAGACAGAAGAGCTGCTGTATGCCCATGAGCAGGCCACTCCCTTCCAAACACTGGTTTACTCACCTATATAATGAGCATAATAGACCATCTTTTCATACCATCAGGGATCTGGGAGATTTTTTGAATGGGTTCCAAAATAGACAGCATGATCTCAGGATGCAGGATGCACCAATGGAGATAAGCACTCTAGAATAATGGAGGTGATTGTTCTACCCACCTCTGCTCCAGTCAGACTACACTTGGAGTTCTATTTGGGCTCCATGATTGAAGAGGGATCTCTGAGATCATATCTACAGGGAAAGGAGCTCCTTTAAGCAAGAGCTTGAAACATGTCTTGTGAGAAACAGAACAATTTTGGGTTCTAAAGAGGACTCAGCAGGAGGGACAGAAGAACTTTCTTCAAATCTCTGAAGGTATAAGGGATGAGATTTATTCTGGGTGGTCCCAAGGACTGGTGAGTAAGTGGCAGACTTTGGCCTGACTCAACCCAGGGTCTGGCTCACAGTTGGCCCTGTCGATAATGATAGCTGATAGAGATCTAGGTAAAGGTACCATGAAGGACTGCCTCGAAGCTTCCCAGAGATGTAATAGGCTGCTCCAGAAAGGGGCTGGCTTTCTGGGTCCAGAAACATTAAGGTGGAGAAGTGAAAGGGAACCAAGGACTAAAAAAGTAGAGGAACAGGCAAACTGTAGGACCATATAGTAAATCTTTAATGCAGGACTGGCTGCATTAAAGTTGAGGGGTCCAGAGAAAAACAAACATTTAGCCCCTGTTAAAAAATGATTACAAATTTTAACAAGGTGAAACCACACTGTGGCGTCTCCCAAGCATGGGCCCCTATCCTGGTTTCACTGTCCTGGTTTCAGGCTCCGTGGGCCATATGACATCCTTCGCGACCACTCACCTCTGCCCTTGGTGGGGCACCTCTGTCCCCATGGCACCTCAAGAGCTGCCATAGAAAGTGCTTAGACAAAGGGGCATGGTTGTGTTTCAGTAAAACTTTATTTACAAAAATAAGTGGCAGCCATATCATAAAAACAAGATTTTGGCTCATGGGCTGTATGTAGTTTGCAGA